TTAGATTATTAGTACTTTATTCCTACATTAGGAACATGTATACAAAACAGAATGTAGTATAATTGCAATAACATGACAATCATTCACATCTCAACAACAACAGGTGCATCTTCCCCATCATCTTCGAATGTAAGATTCCACTTGAATTTGTTCGAAATATGAGTTTTAAACTTGCGAGCCTTTGTCACTAAGGAGGCTGGGAGGCTATCACTGTTGTCGCTGATGTTTGCGAACAGAGATGTCAATGCCGATGCCAGAAAGTTGTTGCTTTCTACTATGTCGACGAAGAGATCTTCAGGGACCTGGAAAAGAAAGAGAATTAAATTGGTTTACTAATGAATATCTGTGCTTAATAAGATCAATTTATATTTCCAAAATAAAATAGAACAATCAGAGTTCTAAAGTGCAACATAAATAAATAGTAGTCATAAATCATATGATATCATTGAAACTTCCACATACATACCTACATCCATTATAAATAGATAAAAATTTAAGTGAAGTAATTTAATTTCCATCACATACCTCATGAACCTGAAAGTGAAGTGCCGAGAGGAACTTCTCATACAAGGCTGGGTTCTGGCAAATGAATTCCTCTGCGCTACACAGTGCCAGCACTAACTTGCGCCAGTGTTCCCACCCTTCCCACACCTGGCCCACGAGGAAGCAGATGAAAGCCAGTTGCAATTCTGCGAGCAGACTCTCTGGCCTGAGGGTGGAAATAGGGTAAATTCAGGAGAGGGAGAAGAGTGATTGAATATGTGTGTATGTGTATGCCCGTGTCTGTCCATCTGTTTAATCTCAAAATACATTTACTAAAATCTTTTTATTTAAAAATACTTTAAGTAACAGTCATAAATTATATCATTACTTGGAGAGGAGAGGAGAGGAGAGGAGGAGACAAGAGAAGAGAGAGACTGACTTACTTCTCAATATCCTTAACCAGCTGACCAATGCTATAAGAAGAGTCAAGGCTGTATCTTGTTATCTCACTGGGCGTTGCCCCCTCGCGATATGGTCGCGCTGGGAACTTACTGAAGCGCATCTCAGTACCAGGCTTTTGTACCATGTTGGGAAGAGCCAACAACCTTTTCTTAGGGGCTGAACCTTCCTCTTCTGGTGAGTCACTGTACTCTGTTATCTGCTCAATCTTGTCATCCTGCCCCAGGCTCTGGGTCCCCTTGTCAGGGTCCTTCAGGTAAGAATGGTTGCTGAATACTCCTGCAGTGGACTTGCCAGAGGTCGAGGGGGAGGTCGCCATGTCCTCTTCCTCGGATGGACTTTTCTGATGGATTAATTCGGGCACAGAGCAGATCTTGCCTGTGTGACAGGGAAGCTAATCATAATAAGGAAACGCGGAAGGAAGGGTGATGGAGGCGAGGAGGGGTGTGGCAAGGCAAGTGAAACAAGAATGAGGAGAATTTGTAAAACGATATCTGGGAGGAAGTAGGGAGGCAAGGGTAGAGGATTAATATATGTGAGATTTGTCCTGATGGAGAAGGAAAACTAGATGGGGGTGACCTGTACGGAAGAGATGAGCTGAAAGAAGTAATACTGATAAGGCTAATGATAATGAAGAGGAATACCGTAGTGAAAAAAAAAAAAAAAATAGCTAATAGTAATAAGGTAAAGAAAATAATGATGATGATGATAACAACTACTATATTAATAATAATAAAAATAAAATTAATTTTTAATATAATCATATCAAGGAGCATATACACAATAGCAACTGTAATACTAATACACATTTTATCAATTCCTCCCTTGCAAACTTATATCTTTTCATACTACCATAACATTATACATGACTATTATTCTATTTACGAGCAAATAACAAAATGTCATATTAAATAATAAAAAGTATAATTACTACATTACATAAATACTCCATTTATGACAAGAACAGGGAGGATGAGAATAATAATAATCAAATGATAGAGGAAGAGAAGCAAGGAGACAAGAAGAGATAAAAGAATACATAAAAGGAGAATACAAGGACTGAAGGGAACAAAGAATAAAGAAAGGGAAGAAACAAGTAGACAGACAAGTGAAATATTATCCATCCCCTCTAAAAGATGTGAGGAAGGAGGGGGAGGAAGATTAACACACACATAATAATAATAATAATAATAATAATAATAATAATAATAATAATATTAATTATGATAGTAACAAAAAAGAAAAGAAAAGACATGAGAAAACATGCTGAGTTAAAGCAGTAAAAAATTTTCAAAACTGGAGTCCAAAATCTTACCAGAGATGGGTTCCATCCTACATAATTCTGCTGGACTGACGTGCTGGGACAGAGAAACCCACTTCTTCCACGATTCTATGGGGTAAGCGCCGAGGTTGCGGTCGAGATTGCGCAAGTTGGAGCGGATTCTGGCTGCCTCTTCCTCATCGGTGTCTTCTTTTAATAATAATAATAATAATAATAATAATAATAATAATAATAATAATAATGATTAAAAACAAAAAATCTAAATGGCTGATTCAGTTAATGAGTATCATTATGTGTCACCTTCAAAGTTGTTGTTGTTTTTTGTTTTTTACAAAGAAACTAGGAACTTATACTTTAATAATGTTACTATTACTGTCTGGTTAATGGTTACAGGAATTAGTTATTTGTGCAAAGGAATTCACAGACAAAAATAAAGAGGGGAAGTGCGGGAAGAGGAAAGTGCAAGGGGAGGAGGAGGAGGAGGAGGAGGAGGAGGAGGAGGAGGAGAAGGAGAAGGAGAAGGAGAAGGAGAAGGAGAAGGAGAAGGAGAAGGAGAAGGAGAAGGAGAAGGAGAAGGAGAAGGAGAAGGAGAAGGAGAAGAAGAAGAAGAAGAAGAAGGAGAAGGAGAAGGAGAAGGAGAAGGAGAAGGAGAAGGAGAAGGAGAAGGAGAAGGAGAAGGAGAAGGAGGAAGGAGAAGGAGGTAGGAAGAAGGAGAGAGAAAAAATATGAGAAAGACAGAGAAAGGGGAAAGTAATAATAGAAAGGGAGAAAAAAAGAAAGAGAGAATAGAAAACACAAAAGAGAGTGTGGAAGAGAAAGAACAAAAGAGAGTAGAAGAACTGCAAGAGAGAGAAAAAGAAAAAGAGAAAAAAAGAAGACATAGAAATACAAAAGGAACTATCTCCTTGAAAGATGATCTAAAAACTTCCGCTATCAATACCTATCAACTTTTCACCGCCAACATGAATAAGTCCAGGCAATTCTTTTTAAGGCTGAAGATCTTACTTGCCTAAAAGCCAGACTTCAGAATAACGGCAAAATCTCATTCCTCACTACACTCACCTGGCTTGAGATCCTCAGTGGCTGGGTCGTAATGCCTGACTAAGACCTCCCGCTGCTTGAAGACATGAAAGAAGCCTGTTCTTGGCGCTGTGTCTCCCTCGCGGTTCACAGCACTTAAGGGAACGCAAAGAGGTTGTAATGTGGTAAGAAGAATGTAATAAATAACAACAACAACAACAACAAAAAAAAAGGGATAAAAATCACACACAATTAGTCATTCACAGATACAAGCAGGTACATACAGGCACATACCTACATAACATTCTTTTTTATACTTATTTTAAGAAATTATAAATCAACTTAAAGAAACCTTTTCCCAGCATCAACTTTCATTAGCAGCTTTAGAGAAGTGGAGATTCAAACTTATTCAACAAGGGCTATATGTTTTTGATTGTCATCATGCTTTTGAAATAATCACAGGGCACTATCACAACAAACATTATACATGCCTTTAAAATCATCATATTTGATATATAAAAATATCACAACCAGATTTAAATCATGTGGAAAATATATGATAATAGTTAATGGTTAATGGTTAGAAGCTTATTTACTAAACATCGACGGTCATATAGGACTATGGTAAAGTATTGTGGTGAAAAGGGTGAAAATGAGTTAACGATCAGGATAAGATATGCTGGATGTCAAAGGTTGCAGAACGCTGTAGGATAGAATGGTAGAGAAAAGAGTATAGAGGGAGAGCAAATGGAATTCAGTGGAGATTTGTAAAAGAGGATGGGGTTAAGGGTATAGGGCAAGCAGATAATGCTAATCTAACAAAAACTGAAAGGCTGAGATAAATGGCAAACATAACAAGGATTTAAAGACAGGAACAGGAAGTATCAAGCCTTAGTTTTCACAAAAAAACGGGCTACAAAAACCATCAATGGAAAATTTAGAAACCTGTATCAATAATGAATAAATATGACCTTGTTAAAAAATCAACACACTGGCTCAAGTTATTTGTTTCCTCAACAGATCTGTCTCATGCATATTTTGGTAAGAACGAGCTTGCTGACCTCTCTGGCAATTCACTGCCAAAAAAGAAACCAGTCAAGCCTTCATCTTGCTCAGATATACATGGTAGAGGTTTATTGGTCTTTGCTTTATTGCCAAAAGGTGTGTTGTGCACTATTTGAGTATTTCCTATCAATGAACACTAAACATAACGAGGGTTAGTCTAGGTCCCTTTGTTGGCTTCGCCTTACATACTTGCATACTTTCCTACTCCATTCAACATTAAGGCAAAATAAGAAAAACTAGAACAGAAAATAAGTTGTAAATGAAATGAAAAGAGAACAGACTGAAAGAAAGACACAAAAAGAAACGACAGCAAGCAACAACACAGCACAAACCTGTAATAGATGAAATGTAAACCCGGCGGTATCATCTTCACTCCCTTGAATTTCTCTGCGATATTCCACGAGTTCATGTCAATGCCAAACTCTGTCCCATAAGGCATTCCGAGGAGGACGAGCGTGCCGCCTTCCTCAAACATAAGCCTTGCTGTGTCCTGGTCCATAGTTGCTCTGTGTCTACTGTAGATGATGGAACGTAATAGTTAATAACAATATATGTGCAATACAAGATATATGATATAGTTAGTATTGTTAAATAGGGGCGATAGTTTAATCATGTTTGTAGAATTTGTCTACTATAATCTGCATGTTCCTTTAATTATAAGGTTTAGTCTAAGTGCATTGTCATCATGCCG